AAATTAGAAAAAGGCAACATTAATTGGTGCATTTACCTTGAACAATAAAATAAGAGCAAAAGCGTCATGGTTTGTTCATTTTGTGGTTAGAGCATTCTGAATTAAAAGACTGATTTCAATTTGAAGACACAAAAAACACAACAATCTAGGACAACTTGCAACTCACATTTTCCATCCCAGTGAACAGCCGAGCAACTCCTTGCTTCTGCAAAGAGTTTTGGAAATCAGCAAACTTCCATGTACACAGTTCTGCTCCGATTACATATACAGACTTCCTGTAGTAAAAGATATGAAGTCACGGTAGTCATAATTCCATTTTAATTAGTGTTTTAATAACAGGAGCATCTACAATCAAATGGATATGTTGCTACATTATATACTACTAACAGAACTTCTATTCTGCTACATGCCTGCACGATTTTGTTTTAATGTATGAAGACTACAAATCAAATTAAAATCAAACATGTCTAAGCTACAAAGCAATGCAATATGCTAAATAATCACATTTGTGCATTACAAAAGTAGCAACCAAATACTTTGTTTAACTGAATACAATACAATAAACTAAGATGTGTATTACAATAACTTTGTTACCTTGATTTTCCTTGCACCACACATGTGTTAAGACAATGAGTGTTGGACCGGGAGACTTGTTAGAGCTATCAAACAGTTGCAAAGAATTGCACAACACAGAGCATAATTAATAAGAAATTTCTGTAGAAGAAATTGCTAAAGATATACAAAAGACTTACTGTTGGAAATGTATGATTAGAAGATTGAGATCTATTGACATGGTCGTTTGGGTGCACAAACTTCTCACCGCGCTTATGGCCCAGAATCTCTGATGCTCTGTTTGCGATAACCTGAAATACAGTTCAAACACAAACTTTCTTATTTCATAATAGGTCAATGAGTGATCAGATGGATGGAAGGGTTACGTAAGAAGTCAATATGATTGTACAAGAAAGTTCCTATACCAGTTCTCCATCAAAGTCGTCTGAAATACATACTCTCTTCACATAAAGTCTTATATTTTTGGTCTTGGGATTGATTACATCCTTCCCTGATGGAGCATAGGGAGGAACATAAAGTATAGATCCAAATTCTACCTCACCCTGCATATCATCACCAGAATATTAGCTGTCAACTTAGTATTGTGATTATCATGCTTAACAAAATTGCACTTGAGAAAAAAAAACATACCTGTGTGGTAAAGTGTGATGATGCCAATGGCTCCAGGTATTCATTAAATGTTTTTTTGTAAAACTCGTTGTAGTCCTCTTTGGTGACTTCTTTAGGATTACGAAGCTGCGCAAATAGAATAATGTGTAAATCTTCATCTTAGGTAACCAACTTCCACTTTAAGCACAAATCATGCAGTTGGAAATCATAAAACTAACCCAGATAGGTTGTGTCTCATCTGTGAGCTCCCAGTCCCAATACTTGTCAACAACAGTCTTAGTTTTCTTCTTATTCTGTTATAAAAATGCGTCAGATTATAAAACGTCCAACACATATGCAACAATTATACAATCAAGTTGTGTTGGATTATCAGGCTGCACACCAACAACATATTGAGTGTTATTACATACAATAGTTATCCTATTGATTTGAAAGACTACTAAATCTAATAGCATGCATTCCATTTTTGCACCATTTTATTCTCTGAAGAAAATATTTAGAGTATCACGTGAGATGCAACTCATCTTAACATAATTCAATGTAGCAGACAGTTTAATTTTCAGGCATGATTATATTTAATTGTTCTATTTTTTTAGATTATTAACGATGTGAATGTCACATCCAATGTCTGAGGACCTTAAATCTCTTTAATAGCAGTGATATTAACAAAGAGCTTACCGTAAATCCACTAGAAACCAAAGTTGCATCGTATATAAGATCAATAGCTCTGAGGGCCTCTAGGTCATCGGGATTAGTTTTACAAGCAGCCTGTAATTTACCGATGTAGTTACATCACTATTATTTTAGTTTGCAGTTAATTATATCATTAGACTTAGGACACATGACAAAAATAGATTCGTACGTCCAAGTTCTTGATAATAGGATGTTCAGGGTTGATCTCAAACACCCTTCTGCTTCTCATGAATTCTAAGCTAGTGGCATCACCCATTGTTTGTGACTTCATTAGCCTGGAGCAGCAAGTTTGATTTACATTCAGCACAGTGCTACTTACATTTTCAAAAACATTATAATAAAATGTGTATGATAAAGTAAGACCCATCTTTCCATGTTTGCAGACCAACCAAATTTTCCTGACACCAGGACACAAGGCGAAGAGCTCAATCGGTTTGAAATCTGCACACTTGCAACTTTATCTCCCAAACGTTTCTTAATCCAATCAATTATCCCACTATATTCCTACTTAATCTCTTTTTCCTTTTCCTCATTTTTGTCACCTGCAGAAACAGAGACATCAAACTACATTTAGCAAGTTTAAATGGTTAAGAACCAAACCATTAATCCATGCCACTGTAAGGGATACCGACAAATATTTGATCTATGAAACACATAAGCTTCTCAAAGTTGAGTGATTGTCCAGTATAGAATTTAATCCAAAACAAATCATGAGAAGAAAACATAATTGAAAAAGAACTAAACCTAGATCCAAGTCTTCCTTGCTAATATCAACAAAATTCTTTTCCTTGTATGATTTAATAATGTGTAAATATTCATTAAATGTTTTCTTGTAAAACTCGTTGTAGTCCTCTTTGGTTACTTCTTTAGGATTACGAAGCTGCGCAAATAGAATAATGTGTAAATCTTCATCTTATGTAACCAACTTCCACTTTAAGCACAAATCATGCCGTTGGAAATCATAAAATTAACCCAAATAGGTTGTGTCTCATTTGTGAGCTCCTAGTCCCAATACTTCTTAACAACAGTCTTAGTTTTCTTCTTCTTCTGTTATAAAAATGCATCAGATTATAAAACAGCCAGCACATATGCAGCAGTTATACAATCAAATTTGTAATCATAATTTCATAGACAATTGATTCAGGGAATGCACGATATGTGCAAAACATTACCTCAGTCTTCTCATATTGGTTGTCCGTTTTCGCCTCAGCTGAATCCTCATCAACCTCTATCTGTAATGGACAAATTATGATAAAAGCTCAAAAACCAATTTCACATCCAGTTTTCAAGGGTTGTGGAATGAAACAATTACAAAAACGGACAACGTCAACAAAATTAAAAGATCTGGAGTGCATAGTCATACTTCTTTGGTGAATCCCTTTCCTGCCAAGTGTATTACGTATCGCAGTAACCGCAATGACTGCAATCACAACATGCACAACCGCGACCATAATTTAAAACCATGGTATTAAGAATGAGGTCTAGGATTTCGATCACTATCGCTAACAAACTCCCCCCCCCCCCCCCCCCCCCCCCGACAGATTAACAACTAACATTTTCGTATAATACATAAATAAACTAAATAAATTACATATATTATTAAGAGTGACTACTCCAATTTCTAGTTCAAAAGAGGGCAGATAGGGATCAAAATATTAAGGTTTATTCTTACCATGATCAAAATATCGAGCCTGCGAGCTACCATCCTGTTTTCAAATGTAAACTCTCAATTATATAGTTTTCTTTATAAGCAGAAGATGGCATGGGGAATGAAGAGTAAAGAAGAAAATTAATCTTGAATGCAAGGATGCGAGGAGCTGGAAAACGAAACTCAGTCAGCTCTTCAGCCAATGTTCTGCATGCAGCCAAAGCAGCGACACTTTTTCCTTCATCGACTACAAGTTCCGCACCCTAGAAGATCCATCCATAAAATATTAGGAAAATACGTGTATAGTATGCGAACAAGAAACTTACGGACCCAATCCTCTCTTCTTTATCCATATTGGAAAAAACTAACAATCCCACCATCATAGGCAATAAAACAAATAACTAAAATCTTTTCTATCCATTTTCATTTTTCAGAAAATCAATGATATGTTTAGGAGCAGTAAAATGCATCACAAGCCTCTCCAAACACCAATCAATATACATTCCCTTCGAAGCAGCCTGCAAAAAATACATATTAAGAAAACTTCAATAAAATTAGGGTTACAAAGTATAAAATGGATATGACTCCAACAACAGAGTAGTTATTTTAATTTTCTATTATTCAAAAAATTAGGGTTACAAAGTACAAAGCTTTATTTAAATACCATGTTCTCTAGTTCACCAGTTTACACCTAAACCATACCATAAGTGGCAAAGCCCCCTGCACCCCAACCCCTTAGTCGTAACCCAATAGGCCAAACAATTAACCTGCAAGATAGCATACAGTGAAATGGAACAAAACCTACAATGTAACATACAATAAAATGGAACAAATAATTAACTTGAAGAAAAAAAGGAGATGAAGAACAAAATTACGAGTTTGTCAGAGTTGCGATATACTTCTAAAGGCCATCAATGCCAGAGCAATATCAACATTAGATTTTACATAGAGATCTATGATTGTTTGTTTATAAACAAACACAATCAATCAAATTCTTAGGTTTCTTCATTTGAGGTGATGGTCATTGTAAATAGGGTGTAGAAAGAGGAGGTGGTTGTGCTAGGGTTTGGAAGAAAAAGATAGAAGAAAATAGAGAAAATGGGGAAAAAGGAAAATTGAAATGAGAGAGAGAAAACATGAGAGGTATCAAAAAAATCAAAAGTAAAGACACGTGTCCTTGCTAGAAAGGTTAGGCTTGTTTATTAATTGGTCAATTTGTTAATTACTTTTTAGACCTTTATGTAGTGTAAATATTTTGAATAGAAAGGGTAATATAGGAAGTGGATGCATTTGATTTTTGATTGATAGATAGTAGAAGTAAAAATGTTTTATTAAAAAAAATAAAATAAAAACCCTACCCGGCATTGCCAATTATCTGTCCATTTCCTTCATGTGGGGAGGCCAACACCTACGGTTACAAACTTAGTGATAACAGTAAAAGACCGACAATCATACCATCAGCATTTTCATAGTGAGCATGGACGGTGACGGCGGCGAGGAAGATTCTCGCAACGGATGTTCGCCGGTAACTCTTCAAACCACCGATCAACTCATCGCCAGGTGCATAGCTCCCGTCAAAAACGAATTCCTTCGTCCTCCTCCCGATCGAACTTCATCCCAAAACGACGACGTTTCAGTCCCAAAGGACAAACCCCCCGTTCTCGCCAAGGAGAAGAAATCCAAACGCCAACTCAAACGCGAACGGCGCCAGGTACTCCTTCCACCACTCGCATTTCCATTATATAGCATGCAATCTATCCGAAAATACAACATGACGTTTCACTTTGTACTCTTTAGGATCAAAAATCAACAAAAAATCTGTGTCCAGAAATTTCCAAGTCAGGTGATGTTAATTCGTGTCGTTATCAAGATAAGTGTCGTTTCAGCCATGATATAGAAGCTTTTAAGGAACAGGTAGATAATGTTATCAGTCACTGAATTGTTTTTTTGAAACCCTAATTTTAACCTATGTAATTAAGAAGAGTTTTGGGTTTGAATGAGTGCAGAAACCGGCTGATTTGGAAGGTGAATGTCCTTTTTTGAAATCTGAAGGGTCTTGTCCTTATGGTTTATCGTGTAGATTTTTAAGTACTCATGAAGAAGGTAAGCCTTTATCTTCTAATGGATTGGAGAGGAGGTCTGAAGTTAATGGTTTTAGCAAAGATGTTCAAAAGCTTTTGTGGAAAAATAAGATGACTTTCCCCAAGGCCGATGCGATTCTCAAAAGTCTTGGCCTCTTGGTATGTTCTCTATTTGTTTGTTGTTATTGTTGGTGATGGTGTTATGTCTATTATTTTCCTTAGAAAATGTCATAAATGATTGTCATTCTAGTGATTTTGTTACTTAGCTGCTAGTTGACATTAGAGTAGTCAATAGCAGCCAATAGCGGAGCAGAGGCCGAGCACTATGGGTAGAGTCTTAGCAGTGCCCAACACTATAGCGGCTGCTATAGAGTAAATAGCGGGATAGCGGAGCAGAGCGGTTCCCGGTCCAGAGCAGTAGCAGTTTCTGGCCTGCCAAACTTTCCCCCTCTAAAAAACCGAAATTACCCCTTAAACTTACAATATTTTAAGGGCAATTTTGGAATTTTCAATCAAATTTGAGTTGAGACTCAACCTTAACCTTTCTTCATAGTTGTCTATGCACTTCAAGAGTCAACGTGTGCTTTGATTTATGGATATTTTATGAGTTGAGTTATTTGTTTAATTTCACATTAAATATATGTATATAATTATTATATGTAATTTGTCTAAAACTGAGCAAATAGAGCGGTTATCCCGCTATCCCACTTTCGGGGTCAGCTGCTCCGCACCGCTATTCAGGAATGACTACTCTGCTTCACATAAAGATGCCGGTATGCGTGTAATTATAGCCGCACTACACTATTGATGACATGTCTGGTGTCCAAAGCATGTCTTTGTGTCTGACCACAGCACACGCGGTTGCTTTAAAATAATAGGTTTAAAATGCCTTTGTCGTGTTTCTTTGTAATTATTGCTCAGAAATTAATGTTGTTCTTTCCACTTTTATACAGCCTTAATGTAATCATAACTTCCTTTTAGTACTCTGTTTAAATTTTCTCCTTCCAATTTAATCAATCACTCTTCAGTCTAAGTCAAAAGGGAATGCCTTGGCAAACAAAGATGGTGGTGACAAATGTGTTCAGTCTGATGAAATTGGTTCTTGTGTGGTTACATCTGAGTTGGAAAGCAAAGACGGTGTCGACAAATGCCATCAGTCTGATGACGATGATTCTTTTGGGGTGATCGTTGACTCGGATTCTAAGTTAGAATGCTCTGTAGAGGTTCTAAAAGATGACGATGTCATCAATAAAGAACTTGATTCTGATGTACTTTGTCCCCTGAAGAGAAGAAAAACTGCACAAGATTGTGGTGGTGAGGAGACAAAAACTGAAGGTCATAAAATCATTTTTTAATTGATTGATTATAGTTGTGCTTGTTTAATATTCCACTGCATTCAATTTTAGTGGTACTTAGCTTCATATTGCTGAAACAGGTGTGAGTGTTAATGGTCAAAATGTTGACGGAAGCTGCATAAGATCTGAACCAGAGGCAGGAACTGAAGCTTTGACCCCAGGAACTGATATAAGCTTGAAATCACACTCGCGTGAGAAGAAGCTTATTGATTTCAGGGAGAAGTTGTATCTTGCCCCTTTGACCACTGTTGGAAATCTCCCTTTCCGGAGAGTTTGCAAAGTATTAGGAGCTGATGTAACATGTGGTGAAATGGCAATGTGCACAAATCTTTTGCAGGTACCTATATGGATTTTCTGCTAGTTTCTCTATTTAGTTCTGTTTATAGTAGTGATCTAATAAACTTTGTTATATTATGATATGAATTTAGGGCAGTACCCATACAGTTTGGTGTCTATCTTTTTTCCCGTAAAATTAATTTATGTAGAGTTGTATTATATCCCTTATAGTTAGGCAACATTACATTGATTTGCTGCTTTTGAATGTTGAAGCCTAAATTTACTACTAATAATAAATTAGTAATAACCTTTTTTAAAACTCTGTTGTGAACTGATGATTTATCAAGAATGGAACATGATAATTTTCCTTCTCCCATGCTCTTTCCTCTTTGCTTTGTTATGCGCAGCTCTATCCCCGTCTTTTCTTTTGCATATTCTCTTGACATTTGAACATTCATTTCAATATTTTAAATGACATAATTTTATTTTTGTAATAGGGTCAAGCTTCAGAATGGGCATTGCTGAGACGCCATTCATCTGAAGATTTATTTGGTGTACAAATCTGTGGCGCATATCCAGATTCTGTGGCGCGAACAGTTGAACTAATAGAAAAGGAATGTTCAGTAGATTTCATTGATATAAATATGGGCTGCCCTATTGACATTGTTGTGAACAAGGGTGCTGGATCAGCTCTTCTTACAAAACCAATGCGCATGAAAAGTGTTGTAGAAGTAGCTTCAGGCACAGTTGATATACCAATAACTATCAAGGTATTTGCCATGCTAAACACCAATTAAACACAACAATTTTTTTGTCAAATTCCATTTAGCATCTTGATAGCTTCCTCTGTTCTGCTGCGGCTCTGAATTTTTCATTGCACTAGGTACGGACAGCTTATTTTGAAGGGAAGAACCGTATTGACTCAGTGATAGCAGACTTTAGCTCCTGGGGAGCTAGTGCAGTGACAATACATGGTAGGTCACGGCAACAACGCTATAGCAAGCTTCCTGACTGGGATTACGTATATCAATGTACCAAGAAAGCCCCTAAAAATTTGCAAGTAGTGGGGAATGGAGATGTTTTTTCATTTGAAGACTGGAACAATCATAAAACTGATTGCCCTGAGCTTGCTACATGCATGATTGCCCGTGGTGCACTGATTAAAGTTAGTATTGTCACCTTGGCTTAATCTCATTTTATGGAGTTTGTATCTAATGCCCGTTGAGTATTGTATCTAATGCTTGTTGTCTTCACCGGGAACAATATCATTTAAACTTATCACTGTTGTGTGCAGCCTTGGATATTTACAGAAATAAAGGAACAGCGACATTGGGACATCAGTTCAGGCGAGCGGTTAAATATTTTCAAAGATTTTGTGCATTTTGGTCTTCAACATTGGGGTTCAGATACCAAAGGTATGTTTTATTATTGCTGATGGAGTAGCTTTATTATATTCATATTTTAACTGGTTCCTTACAACAACAACCAAGCTTTATCACACTAAGTGGGTCGCAACATGGTTTTTTATTTTTATTTTTAAGTATTTGGTATGTGTCATAGAGATTCAACAATGTTTTACGTTAGTTGTCGATTGCCTAACACAACCCTCCATTTATCTAGGCTTTTTCCTTCCTGTTATAAAATTATAAAAATTGAAATAGCTACTGTATTTACCTCAAAATAAACACAACAGTTGTTAGTTGTACTTGTCTTATCTTATGCCATGAATGAACGACCTTACATAAATGGGTCAGATTTGGTTCATGTCTTTTTTCCTTCTTGCAAAGGATACAAGTCATTGATGAGTGTATTAAGGGAGGGGCTTTTGGACAAAGTATATAATTTTTGGGGAGTTTCTTGGAAGAGAGTTGAGTTTGCTCACAAGAATGTATACCTTTAATCCTTTACATCATTACATAACATGGAGCTACAAATGATTTGATAGAAAAAAAACATGAAATGAGCCCTTTATTTCTTGTTATCTTACGACTGTGTAATTCCTAATTATATGTTGTATTTCAGGAGTGGAGACAACCAGACGGTTCTTGTTGGAATGGCTTAGCTACACCTGTAGGTACATACCTGTTGGTCTTATGGAAGTTGTTCCACAACGAATAAATTGGCGTCCACCATCTTACTATGGGCGTGATGACCTTGAGACACTGATGGCCTCAGACTCCGCAGCTGACTGGGTATGCAGTTCCTTGTTATTTCAAGTTTTATTGAATATATATATTTAAACATAGTTTTTTTGGTATGCAGCATTTCTATTTCAATAAATATTATATGATCTTTTTATTTTCTCTAGAATGGAAGAAATAAAATGATAGATTATCCTGAAAGTTTTGGTCCTTATCCTTGCTCAATGCTCATTATAATTATTTTATAAACCTTGTATAACTCTTAATCCATAATAACTATTTTACTTTACATTAAAAAAAGGAGATTTTACACTTTCTTCTATGTGCAAAACCCTCCATTCAAAGACAACAGACCAAGTTTTGTTCAACAAGATGTGGTTGGTAGGTAATGTGAAGGATGGAGATGAGACTATCAACACTTAATAATTATCAATATAAATTTTCATTATAATCTAGTACTATAATATCCTTGCCCCTCATGCTTTTAAACAATTCTTTTTATTCACATTTTTCTTTTTACCATACACAGGTGCGGTTATCAGAGATGTTACTTGGCAAAGTTCCAGATGGCTTTGCTTTTGCACCGAAGCATAAATCAAATGCTTACGACAGAGCTGAAAATGGCTAATGCTGGAGTTTGTCCTGCTTGCTGCTCGGTTAGTTTGAATAGGCTTAGGAGACATCTGTAACCTTCTTGTGTCACATTGTTCCCTTATTTAGAGTAGTTTTTTCGTACTCGAGCTTGATTTTCAACTCTTCACTCCTCTACTAGGAATTAAAACATTTATTTAATAAGCATTGACATTTGAAATGTAACCAATAATAATAATTGAGTCATGCCAACTTTTGCATGTTTGGGTCAATTTTAAATTTGTAATTGCTGAAATTAAATCGGAGTTCTTTCAATGGTTGATTGGGGAGGACTTGGGAAGTGATTCATGTCACGTTTTATGTGCAAAACGTTGTTCAGACAGACAACAATTATCATAAATGAGATGAGATTTTGGTGTTGCTTATTTTGAATCCCTTTCTTAATTTGACTCGACACTGGCATTTAAAGAAAGTTGTCAAAGACGGTTCCATGTGTTTATACCGAAGAGTCAAGACTAAAGACAACAACTGCACATGAATTAATGAATGACCTTCCGTGTCTGTATTACAAAACCGTCTCAACATTTTTATATATAGTAGGACGATAAGTGTTTTTTTGAAATGTGTGTAAAGTGTAGTAAAAAGGATTAGAGTAAACAATAAGCACATAGTATTAGTTAGTTTGGGTGATAGTATTTAAATTTATGGGTTAAATGGGTCCATAGTCACTACCCGAAGGATAAAAGTGTGATGAATTATGAAACCAAAGCACACAATTCTTGAATTATGCGCGGCATTTTGAAACGAGATAACATGGAGGTAATCCAGAATGAATGGGACCAAGTCATGAATACGCACAAGTTTAAAACTTCGGTATTTTATAAGTTGCTGATTGATGATGACACAAGGGTGCTTTGGAGAAAATTGATAAAATCCAACAGGGGACGGCCGCGAGCAGTGTTTTATTTATGGGAAGCTTGTCACGGGAAGCTTGCGACCAAATACAGGTTGAATTGGGATGATTGAGGACAACAATTGCAATTTATGTCTTTCCGAGGAAGAAACGATGAATCATTTATTTTTCTGTTGTCAAGAGACAAGACACATATGGAAGGAAGGGCTCAAATGGTTTAACATTTATCATGAACCTCAACCATGGAATCTAGAGTTGGTCTAGATCACTAATATAGATCACTAATATAACAAAGAGTTGGTCTAGATCACTAATATAGATCACTAATATAACAAAGGGAAAGGGATGGAAAGTTGATGTTTTGAAGATGTTAGTAGCTGAAACGTCTTGTTAGTTTTATGATGTAATTTTGAGTTCTTTTGGTCGGTTGGATCCACTTTGGATCGATTTTTTTCAATAAATATATTGTTTTCTTGATTAAAAAAAGAAAGATAATATTTAAATTTAATAATACGAGTAATAAAGTCTGTACATAAACTTTTCATACATAAATTTATTAAAGAAAAAATAGAGATGGCAAAAAAACTCGGATCCGTCTCTAAGTCCGGGTGAAATCTGATTCTTAACTACAGTACGGATAGTGCATTTTACTTTAATTTTCCTATTTTACTTATTTTAATATTAATTTATTAATTATATTTTTAATTAATTTATTTATGTTTTTATTGCAATTAAAATAATCATGTTAATATTTATTTACTAATTAAAATTTCAATTAATTTATTAAAATAATTAATTTTTTAATTAAATTATTAATTTTTATTACAATTAAAAAAAATAATTTTTTTTCGGATGGAGACGGGGCGGGTGCATTGTGGGTGCTAGTGAGAACGAGAGTGAGGACGAGAGTGAGTGTGTTAAATGGAGCGAGAACGAGAGTGAGGACGAGAGTGAGTGTGTTAAATGGAGCGAGTACCGGAGCGGGTATAGTTAATATACCCGCCCCTGGCACGTTGCCATCCCAAAGAAGAAATAAAAAAAAAAGGCAGAAGCTGAAATATAATTTTATATTGAAAAATAAACAAAAACAAGATAAAACATGTAGTTCCTAATAAAAAACTGTAGTAGTTTTTAATCATATAAGATCAACCTAAAATAAAAATAAGAAAATTCCAAATATAGCAATAGATAGTATTACTATTAAGAATTGGCCAGCTCCAAAATCAAAATTTCTAAATTAGCTTAAAATAAAATAGTGTAGTCAGATGATATACTTTCCTTAGACATTTATCTGTCCACTAGTTGTAGCTTGTATAATAATGTGGTGCCTATACTATACTCCAGAACCATATGTAGAACAATTGTGATCAAACTCCAGCAATGTTCACCTCTTTCTGATTTGGGTTAGCTTGAACAGATCCATTTAATCCACCATCCACAGCCTTCTTGACTTTAAGTTCATTAGGTTCAACAGGATAATTCCCAGTGAAACAAGCATAACAGAAATTAGAAGAATCATCACCCAACAACTTCTTCAAGCTATCGATAGGTAAAAAAGCAAGTGAATCACAACCAATAAACTCCTTAATCTCATCCACACTCATCCTATTAGATATCAACTCATCAGGGCTAGGTGTATCCACACCATAGTAACATGACCCAATAATCGGAGGACATGCAATTCTCATATGAACCTCTTTAGCACCAGCTTCTTTCAACAGCCTCACAATCTTAGATGATGTTGTTCCCCTCACAATAGAATCATCAACAACCACAACTCTTTTCCCTTCAAGAACAGCGCGAACAGGCGAAAGCTTCAACTTCACACCAAAATCTCTAATCTTCTGCGACGGCTCAATGAAAGTTCTTCCAACATAGTGTGACCTAATCAAACCCTGCTGAAAAGGCACACCAGCTTTTGCAGCATAACCAAGTGCAGCTACAACACCAGAATCAGGAACAGCTATAACAACATCACAATCAACAGGATTCTCAGTAGCCAATATCTCACCAAACAATCTCCTCGATTCATAAACAGATTTTCCAAAAACAACCGAATTCGGCAGTGAGAAATAAATATGTTCGAAAATACATTGTTTTGGCTCTGGATGAAAAACAAGAGAATAAGATTGAACACCAGTTTCATCCACAACCACAATTTCACCAGGATAAACCTCTCTTTCATAACTAGCTTCAATCAAATCAAGCGCGCATGTTTCCGAAGCAAAAACAACAGAACCATTACTTCTTCTTCCCATAACCAAAGGCCGAAAACCGTAAGGATCTCTCACAGCAACAAGTTTATCCTCAGTAACAAACACAAGCGAATAAGCACCTTTCACTCTCTCACAAGCATCCATAACTCTAGTTATAAAACTCTTCTGATTCGAAGTTGCGATAAGATGAAGAATAACCTCAGTATCAGAAGTAGTGTTGAAAATAGAACCAGATTCTTCAAGCTTGTTTCTCAAGGAACGGTAATTCACGAAATTACCATTATGAGCAACACCTACCGAACCAAAACGGTAACCTGCAACAAAAGGTTGAACGTTTTTCAACATAGATTGACCTGCGGTGGAGTAACGAACATGACCGATGGCTAAACTTCCCGGTAATTGACGGAGTTTCGTATCGTTAAAAACCTCGGAAACAAGACCGACGCCGGTGAGGGTTTGAAGAACGTTATTATTGACGGAAACAATTCCAGCGCCTTCTTGTCCACGGTGTTGAAGAGCATGAAGAGCTAGATAACATAAGCGAGAAGCTTCGGGGTCGCCGTAAATACCGACGACGCCGCATTCTTCGCGAGGCTTTTCGTCCTCGTTAACGGTTAGGTTTTGGAAAGGGAACGTGTTTGTGTTGTTGCACGAGGAGGGTGGTTTGGAGTAGCGGGAATGAGAAAGTGTGGTTTTGGAGTTAGAGGAAGAGAAAAAAAGTTTGTTGTGGAAAAAAGAAGGGTTGAAAGAGGAAGAAGAAGAGGAAGAAAAAGAGAGTTTAGGGTTGGCGAGGGAGGAGGAAGAGAGAGCAGAGTTAGAAGCCATGGCGTGCAATAATAAAAAGAAGGTAAACTGAAAGAGGAGGCAGACGATATATATATATATAAAGTAACAGAGCGGGCGGGCACTTAGGTTTTGTTACTTGCCCGTGAATTTTGTGAAAATAGGGATGCAACCAATGGTGTAAAATTATTTTACACCGTTATATAACAAACAACAATATCCACGCTGTCAAATTTATATACACTAAAAATACGTTAATTTGTTAATTTGTTTTTTAAAAGAGAAAATTGACTTTTTTATATTATTGAATAATTAATTTATGTAATATATTATACAGTTTACATATATTGATTATTTAATAAACACAAAAAATAAAATTTATCTTACAAATAAGAGAAAGTATTATAATATCAAAAAAGAAATTTTAAAAATAAAATAAAAGACTATCTTTATTTTTTCAAAATAAAAATACTATAATTGTTTGAAAAAGTTTACCGAAGATATATTGATAATGTAAATTTTTTTATATTATTATCTAATAGAAATATATTATTATGTAATGTTATATAATTAATTTAAAATTTTAATATGGGTTGATGATATACATGAATATCATTCATTGATATATAAAGTTAATTTCAATAACAAAACAAAATAGTTTTTCTTCTATACATAAAAATTTTAATTAATTATATATGTAATATTGTTTTATATAACTTTTTTTAAACTCTTTATAAACTTAGTTCTTTTTAAATGCACGTGTATAATATCAAAATTCTCTTTTCTTTATCTTATAAAAATAAAAGATTCTTCTTATTTTTTTTCAATTAAATGTACCATAATTATTATTACTAGCGTTCACATACATTTGAAATATAAAAAATATTTTTTGTGTATTTATTTTTTATTTTAATTAAATTATTTAAAAAATAATAATAAAATAATAAAATAAAAGAGATATGTAAACCACCATAGAGAGATTAATGGAAAAAAAATTGCGATTTAAAACAAAATTTGAAAAGGGTATAATTAAAACAAAAATAGACTAAACCAAAAACAAGTTTTGCCTTTATTATAAATATACATTTAATTATTTTTCAAACATAAAAGTTTTAATTAACCCTATATACAGTATTATTTTATATAAATTTCGTTAAACTTTTTATAAAATCAATTATTTTTAACTATGCATCATATTTGCGGCATCCTATCTCATCAAGAATAAAAATTTACCATTTTTAATAATTTTAACTTCTAACCAAAAAATCACACACGCCGGTAAATATGTTGTACGATCTCTATTTTAATATAAATTATTTTTTAATTTATTAAATAATTTATGAATAGTTTAATTGACGCATGCACTATTTGTGTCACAAATTTTAAACACACATTATTTTTAAAAAAAATAAAATTAAAATAATTAATCGTTAGTTGATCTAATGGTGATTCGAGGTGAGATCAATTTGATTTTCTATAATTACGATAAAAAAGAGTTGAATCTACTCGATATCAAAACTAATCTCTGAAGCAGATTAGTGGATCTAATAAGTTTGATGGTGAAAAAAATGTAATTATTTTAAACAAACCAATGGTGTAAATTATCTTACATTGCATATCTATTAAATTGATTAATACATTAAAAATAAATATAAACTATATAAATTACTCATTTAATATATTAAAATAATATATTTTATAATAATAATAATAATAATAATAAAAGAAGAGAACAATAAATAATAGATTGTAGATGATCCAACTACAAATAAAATGTTATAGGACTATCAAACTTAGCGTAGTACCATTTTTATTGTATATTATTGATAAACTTTAAATCTTTTAAATAATTAATTATAAATATCAATAATTTATTTATATTTAGATAGAAATATAAATATATACTTTCATATATTAAACCTAGATCTATAATTAGTATCCATTTTATTCAAATAACACAAAAGTCAAAACAATTGAACTATTGATAATCTATAATTTATTAAGAAACAATATACAATTTATTACGTATCTATAATCTAAATGTATATTATTTTCTAGAGTCTTATGTTTATGAAATGATTAGGTTATAGATTATAAATTTATTTCATAAAAACTGATCTTGAAAATTTTCCAAGATTTATTTCAAATCTAAATAAATTATGTATGTCTACTTAAAAAAAAAGTAGAGTGTACAATAATTTATACAGTAAATTAATGATCGTTAATGAATGTATCAAATACATTACACTGTAATTTTAAAATATTAATTAATAATTAGTATAGAACACACATTTGTTTTTAAAATATAATGAAATAAAATAAAAGAAAAATTAAATTATTCAAACAAAAAAATTAATTATTTTTAAAATAGATAATAAATCCATGTCTATAATTTATTTCTTATATAAAAATATTTAAATCAACAGTATATTTTTTGTATATAATATTATTTGTATTTTGACATTATTTTCAAAAATATTTGAATCAATCATAAAATTATTTTATTATTTTTTATTATTTTTTATTATTTTTTAATATTTCGATCAGTAGCTTTATGTTCATGTTATATTTATTTAAATTTCATGATATAAAAAAATAATAAATTATAATTTGATCAAAATTTATTTTGTATAGTTACTATGCATATTTGTTTTTAAAATATAGTAATAAAAGAAAAAAATAAACAAAATTGTTGAATCAGAAAAGTTTATTATTTTTAAGGAGATAATAAGTCGTAAGTAGTAAATAATAGTAATATATTTCTTTAATATTTATTAGTGATTAATATTTAAGCATTTTGTTTTAAGGTCTAATTCAATCTATTCACCAATAAAAGGGTTGGAATATTATAATTGATAAGTCTTTGAAAAACTATAATCGAATAAGTATTTAATTTTGAGAAATATTATATTTTACTATGTTAATAGACGTATATACTTTAATCTATATATATATATATATATATATATATATATATATATATATATATATATATATATATATATATATATATATATATATATATATATATATATATATATATATATATATATATATATATATATATATATATATATATATATATATATATATATATATATATATATATATATATATATATATATATATATATATATATATATATATATAATTTTTATTTTGATATTATTTATAAAAATATTTAGACCAATAAAATACTTATTCTCATTTATAAAAAAAATATATGAAGATTCACTCATCAATAATTAATTTATAAGAAATATATATCTTTTTCATATTTAAATATTTAAATTAATTTATAACACTGTTGTGGGTAATTTTTACGGGTATTTATTGAAGATGAATCTAATTTGAATTTATAGAATGTTTTAATTATATTTACTTTTAATTTTTTAATTGCACACAAAATATAATAATGGTCGCATATTATTTTCTATATATAAACAATAATATAAATATGCTGTAAAAAAACTAAATAAAGAATTAGTTAAATTTAAAAAATAAACCTATAATTATATAATATTTTTTGAACTGAAAGAAACTTAATGATTTTAAAGTTTTTTAAATAAAACTAAACAAAATTAAATATTATTAATGATTTTAAAAAAACCTACAACATTAGTCTTTCCGATTCTTCCATTTAATAATTTCTTTAAATAAATTTAATGATTCAACTTTATGATTTTTTACTTCTAAAATGAGACATGTGAAATATTAAAAAGTAAATCATACTATTTATTTTTGCAATTAAAAATATGAAAGAAATAGATACAAATAGGAAATAAATTACTAATCGGGTAGAAAAAAACTAAAAAAATTATATATATATATATATATATACATATATATATATATATATATATATATATATATATATATATATATATATATATATATATATATATATATATATATATATATATATATATATATATATATATATATATATATATATATATATATATATATATATATATATATATATATATATATATATATATATATATATATATATATATATATATATATATATATATATATATATATATATATATATATATATATATATATATATATATATATATATATATATATATATATATATATATATAAAACGTATTTTATGAGAATATTATTTTTACGTGAGAATATAAATGTCATTTTTACGACCCATCCCGTTTAGGTCTGCCCCATTTAAGCCCGTCCAAAAGTGGGGCGGGCCAACTTAGGTGTTCGAGCTCAAAAGTCAAGCCCGCCCGTTTACTAACGAGCTGGCGGGCCGGTCCACTAATTTTTTTTTACAATTTGATTTACTACATAATTTACAAAATTGTTAATCATTACAAAAGAGGCCAACAAATTTTAACAATGCATAGTAAAACTTTAACAAGTCGTAACACAAATGTCATATTCTTCAACATAAACAAACAACGTAATTATAATACCAAAAACTTAAAACAAATACACTAAAACCCAAAAAATTAAAACTTTATTATCATAATGAGAAACAAACTCCTTTATGCAAAACCTTATAGCTTTAGAACCTGGCTCCAATGACAATGAGTAAAAGAAAATAGAAAAGAATGTATTCTCTATGTTTTGCAATAAAGATTTTTTCTACTACGAGTAAAAATAAATAACGAAGCAGAGACCATATATGCAAACCAGCTTATTAACAGGATGCCTAAACCAATCATTAATATGATCTCTCCCTTTGAAATATTGTTTAAAAGCAAACCAGCTTATCATACACTTCATTCATTTGGCTGTTTGTGCTTTCCTTGGCTGAAACCATATATGCAAAATAAGCTCCAACCCAGGTCTAAACCTTGCATCTTCCTAGGCTATTCAACGTCTCAGTATGCATATTTTTGTCTTGAACCTGTGTCAAATAGGATATATGTATCTAGACATGTCCACTTTGTGGAAAACTCATTCCCCTATCAATCCCTAATTAATTAGTCATCCACTTGTCCTCCAATTCCATCACATGACTCTTCGGTACACAGTATTATTCATGTTACCCAAGATCAAAATTCAGC